TCCCTAGTATTTAGGTTAGCCTTCACAGTAAGGCTACATTAAATGTTATAATATTCATCGTGATCCTTTCTACCTTTTATGTATATTCCTGTTTATTGCTTTTATTTGTATTTAATTGTATTATGTTTATACTTGTTTTCCACACATTTCCCAATGTGCCTACTTACTGCCTACCTACCTACGCTACCTATCTATCTTTCTATCTATCTAGTTAGATAGATACTTCATTCATCCCAAATTGGGAAATTGGGAAATGTGTGGGAAAAGGTGGAAAACAAGTATAAACATAACATTAAATACAAACAAAAGCAATACACAGGAAGTATACATATACAGTATACACAATATATATATATATTTTTTTTTATTATGCCTCCTGTAGCACCTTGGGATTGCTGTTAGCAATGAAAGGTGCTTTAAAAATCGAATTTATTATTATTATTATTATTATTATTATATTACAACATTCAATGAAGCCTTACTGTGAAGGCTAACCTAAATACGGTGCTTTTCTACAGATAACCTTACCACTGCACTGGTAAGGTAAAACTAGGCCGATTAATAAGATGTGAAGTGCTCTGCAACTTTGACCCGCTTGAATGAATACACAAAAAATATGAAGAAAGATTTATCTCTGGGGCTACTTCGCTGCCAGCTGTAGCCCCCCGGGACCCGAAAGTGGCGAGATGAAGTACTTCAACATCAATGGAATTAATTGATATGTGTTTGTGAGTATTAGTACCCGCCACCTGTGAGGATCTTCCTCCAAATTCATGCGAAATATATGTATGTGTTTGTGAATGTTAGTACCCGCCATCTGCCGGAATATAGGTATGGAATTGATTGTAAATTGATTTGGTGAATGAAGTTTAAATGTGCTTTTTATTATCACCAGTCTTTTATGAGGGGAGACCTCTAAATCTATTGGGAGATTTAAAATCACAACTGAATAGGGCAGTTACAATTGAATGTAATAAATGTAAACTGTGAATTAGAGTTGCATATTAGAACATGACCACAGCATGATATGTTTTGTAGGATAATAATGTTTGTAACGAGAGAAGGTAAAACCCTGTATACGTTGGACCTATTTTTCTTCAAATAAACTGATCCCACCTTTTGGATTGGGACAACTTAAAAAGACATCTGCGCTCTCCTCTCCTGCTTCAAAGGTAAGATTGCACACTGCCACACTCACACTTAGGTAGGGCCACACCTCATTTACTGATATCAAAATCCTTCGGGATCGCTTTAACAGATTAAGAGGGTCGTCTGAATTGAAACAGCAGTTAATTGAACCTGGTTCTTCAAGAGTTAATAGAGGTGAGATCTTGCTGACGTTGGTGGATCTGAGCCAAGCCGTGAACTTACATAGACTCAATAACTTCTGTTAGGTTAATTAGTAGGGCTGAGTAATTTGCCGGAACAAATTATCAGCCCCCCCCGACTCTTACACCCTCTTGAGTCTTTTTTAGATGTCTCCTTAAATCACCTTTTAAATGTACTTGTTATACATGGCACCCCGTGTGTTACATATCAAAATGTTCAGGACAGTCTCTGTTCTTGGTATAAAGTCACTCACCAGAGCACTGTGTGATGAGATAATTAGCTCTAAAGCTGTGTAAAAATACAAATTCAGCATTAGAACTCTTTTTCAACCAATAATTATTATAAATATGTTCTTTTCAACCCAACTATTCATAAAAATATAAGAAACTGGAAAATCTTACTATTTACCAGAGGTGTGTCGAGTCACCAATTTGATGACTTTGGACTCGACTTGATAAAATCACAAAACACTTGCGACTCGACTTGGACTTGAACACCAATGACTCAGAACTTGACTTGGACTTGAGCCTTCTGACTTGAGGTGACTTGATACTTTAATTCAGGGGTCTCCAACACGTCGATCGCGAGCTGCCGCTAGAAGAGCAGACTCCCATCGGGGAGAGCAGAATCTTCAGCCGCTCCTACTCTTGCTGTGAATCCATGCAGGCAGGGGCGGGACTTTATTTTGCTGGGCCAATCATATGCGAGAGGACACACTAGGATCATACCATTATGGCCGTGACACGTCTTATTTGGCCTTTCACGGTCGACACACGCTATCGGGCCAAGAAACCACTCTGATCAGCTGTTCAGCTAGCAAATGAGAAGCGAAACGGAAGTGAGGGACGTAAACAAACGATTTAAGAAGGCACAGGACAGCAGCTAAACACCAGCAGTTGATACTTAAAGACATCAAACATAGCCCTTCAATGTCCTCTCTTACCTCCCACACATAGCAGGGACATCTCTGATATCGGCGGGAGCGTCCCCGGCTGTCCTCTGCTGAGAGCTCCGTGATTTGGTACGGTGGTGGCGAAGTCGATAGGGGACTTGGCTTGGCAACTGGAAGGTCACCAATTCGAGTCCCGGCAAGACCAAGTACTACCGAGGTGTCCCTGAGCAAGGCACCGTTCCCAACACTGCTCCCCGGGCGCCGTCCACGGCAGCACACTGCTCCTAACACTAGGATGGGTCAAATGCAGAGGGACAATTTCGTTACATAGTACCTGTACTGTGAAATGACAACAAGAGAATAAAAAAAAAAAAAAGTGTTTGGTCAAGTCCGGTTTTTCATCTCATCGGTTTATTTGTCAGTATAAAGTTGCAGGATTAGTCTCAAGTAGCTCAACATTGTCCTTAAGTACAGTGTCTAAGTAAATGAGATACTGTCTACTGCTGTTCATTTACCTATTGTGAGTCGCCTCGGATAAAGCATCACATGGAAATGTAAATTTAGCAAGAAGTGGCCATTATTACATTACATACATTACTACATTGCTGACTCAATAAATTACACACCCGGCAGAACACTGCGATCATCAGGAGTGGAGTGCACCAGCTGGGCGTAAAAAAGTAGGTCTTAACTCTAACGTCGGGCTTAGCTACGTCCTGCCGTTGCAGGAAAGACGGCCGGCAAAAATCACCGACTGTGTGAACGTGAAAATGAATAGAATATCCCCTCCCATCTTCAGAGCAATCTGACTATTATAACATTAGTGTTAAGAAAGCTTACTTAAATATCTGCCACGACATAAGTAACCGGATCAGAGTAACATTAAGTACAGTCCGCGGCACTGTGAGTGCAGACGTCGATGTGTCCCATTATCATTCATATCACATCATAATGTATCATATATCTCCTTATCTGAGTCAGCTGAGCCGTATCTGGCCGTGCAACACTCACAGTGTCACATTACTGTATGCAGAAGTATTATTTTTAAGCAACACATTAAGTTGACGAAACACTAGAGTCAAATGTAATTAAAGTCAGATCGTGTCTTGGACGGGGCAGTGATTTCATAAACCTGTTAATGTACGCATTCAAACACTTTTTTCTTTTACCAGCTGTATTCACCCTTGCAGCTGCAACTATGTGGCTTTTATCCTGGATAAAGTGTTTAAGTCATGGATGTTTAAAGTTTAACGTCTTCATATTTGTCTAATATTATAGTTGACTTTTCATTCAGGAAGTATGACGCGCTGCGCTGTCAGTGCGCTTGTCCATGTTTGTGATTGGTCGAATGCTCCAAATACCACCCCTTTTATGTGAACGCGCACCTAACTAGATAGGACACGGCTGGCTTGAGCGATCAAGTTGATAGCCAGCGTCGTAGGACCGTTTAGCGAGAGCGTTTTCTTTTTGGATTTAGTCAACCGGATAACTCAAAACATATCCAGGATATGTTGAACTAGATTCGTAGTATAGGCCCCAGGCTAGCCGCTCAGCATAAGTTACCATGGAGATCTAGCCCGCTAGAAAACTAGCGTTTGTCAGACCGGAAACCCAGATTTTTCCCTGAAGTTAGTCAAATCCGGCTTCGTCTTACAGGCCACAGGTGGTTTCCCCTTTCTATCTTTGAGTGAGAAGGAGGTCATCTAGGTTCAATTCTTACTTAATCTTAGTTAAAATTAAAAAAATTAAGACTATAGTAATGATATGCAATTTTAAGAAAAGCGAATATGAACATTTTTATGAAAGCAAAACACATTTTCAATGTCATGTTTAGAATTAAGATTTATTTTAACTTCAATTTAAAATGTGCACATTTAATGTATTAACAGAAACAAACTTAACAAAAGTGTCTCTATTGTCTCTAAGATGTGTTGCTCCTGGATGTTGGACCTAAAATCATCAAGTCTGTACACAGTTCGCTCTCATCCTGTGTGCATTGTTCTCCTCAATCGTTGTAACCGTTGTCAAGGTGTCAAAAACCACAACGCCTTCCTAGAATTGTGGTTGGAACTTTTATGCTTTGCTTGCACCTTCTAAAATGCATAATGTGCATAGGTCAAGAGTTCAGGATGTTCTGTCTAGTTTCACATGTCTGGTAAGACATTATTGAGACATACATCCTTTCCATCAAACCAAATTATAGCCAATTTAGCATTTGTTATCAATGGTAAGCTTAATAGAGGTAGGTGAGGTAAAAGTGAGGTCTGTCACGGCCACTTGAACAGCAGGTCTGTCAACACTATTTCCATTTAATGCTACTTTGTACTTTTACTCCACTATGTATTGAAAACCTTTAGTTACTTCACATATTTGGATCAATGATGTGAAATATAATCAACTCTTAAATCAGACTTTAGTTCCACCTGGAGCAAATTCACAAGCTACCCTGCAGTATACAAATTCATTAAAACTAGACACACACGGATGGATGTTACCTCTCTCTCTCCTCTTCGTCCTGGTTCTTCAGTCTCTCTTCTCCTTGATAAAACACTGCCGTTAAACACGCTAATCTCCGTTGAATGCCTTTACTTCTGTTTACCGATCAGCAACGTGGTATAAAAAGCTACGAACAAAGAACGGGAGGCAACAAAAACACGGTTTAACAGATAAATCACCCTCCAAGGATAAACTTATTAATATTGTTTTTTCTAAACAGGTTGTGATCTTTCATTTGGGGATAACAGTCTTAGGAATATATTGTGATGAAGTGCACACTGACCTTAGCTCCAGGCGTCTTTTTGTTCTCCATGCTGCTCTCAGAGCTCCTTCTCCGGCTGTGTTTCTGAAATAATCACAAAACAAGATAAATCAATACAACCGACAGACACAACAAAACAAATCTACAGCTCATAGCAGAGGTGAAAATGAACTAAGTATATTTACTCAAGTACTGTACTTAAGTACTATTTAGAGGTAGTTGTACTTTACTATTGAAAAGGAATCTAACTTTGCACACACACACACACACACCACACCACACCCACCACACACACACCACACACACACCCACACACACACACACACAACACACACACACACACACCACCACACACACACACACCACACACACACACACACACACACACACACACACACACACACACACACACACACACCACACACACACACACACACTACACACACACACACCACACACAACACAACACACACACACACACAACACACACACACACACACACAACACCACACACACACACACACACACACACAACACCACATCCACACACACACACACACACACACACACACACACACACACACACACACACACCACACACACACACACACACACACACACACACACACACACACACACGTTACCTCTCTCTCTCTCCTCTTCGTCCTGGTTCTTCAGCCTTTCTTCTCCTTGATAAAACACTGCCGTTAAACACACTAATCTCCGTTGAATGCCTTTACTTATGTTTACCGATCAGCAACGTGGTTTAAAAAGCTACGAACAAAGAACGGGAGGCAACACAAACACGGTTTAACGGATAAATCACCCTCCAAGGATAAACTAAGTCTTTGTCTGTGTTTCAAAAGTCTCTTAAACACATAACATTCGTTATAAAATCTGCATCAACATCTGTTAGCAACGTCTAGCTTCTGAGGACCGGAAGCTAGAAACGGACCGCCGCAATGCATCATGGGAGTTTAGTTTTTCTTTTAAACATAAATTCACTGCCTCCCCTGTGGTGAAAAACGGTTTTTAAATAAATATGAATTACAATAATAATAATAATAATAATAATAATAATAATAATAATGATAATAATAATAATAATAATAATAATAATAATAATAATAATATTGGGAACAAATGTTTTTGTTTGTGATCATACATTTGTTTTCCATTATATAGGTTTTGATATAATGATTGATCATTAAAGTTCTCAAAGCTGGTTAAAGGTGCAGCTAGTTTTAATGACTTTGTATACTGCAGTGGTAGCTTGTGAATTTACTCCAGGTGGAACTAAAGTCTGATTTAAACACTTGATTATATTTATAAAAGTAGAAGTACTCAGGTCTTGTCCCTTAGTAAAAGTAGAAGTACTCAGATATTTTTACTTCAGTAAACGTAGAAGTACTCAGATATTGTCCCTTAGTAAAAGTAGAAGTACTCAGATATTTTACTTCAGTAAAAGTAGATACTCAGATCTTGTACTTGAGTAAAAGTAGAAGTACCAGAGTGTAGGAATACTCTGTTACAGTAAAAGTCCTGCATTCAAAATGTTCCTCAAGTAAAAGTAGAAAAGTATTCTCATCAAAATATAGTGAAAGTAGCGACAGTAAAGTAGTCATTGTGCAGATTGGTCCATTTCAGAATAATATATATGATATGTTTTATAATGATTGATCATGAAAGTGTCTCAAAGCTGGTAAAGGTGCAGCTAGTTTGAATGACTTTGTATACTGCAGGGTAGCACACAAAAGTTTTACCTCCGCCCGACGTCACGCCAAATCTGCCCCGAACCGCTGAGATAAACTCGTCTGACTGATGAAGACCACCACTCTCTCTGAGCGAGAACAAAGAGGAGGAGAGAATATCTTTGTATGCAATCAACCTCCACCTTCACTGAAGCTGGGAAAAAACACGCCGACATCAAAGGCAGCGGCTGACTGGACTGCAGGAGATGCTCGTTAGCTTGAATCCTGCAGGGAACCTCACCTCAACACCTACACAGACACATACATAACATATAGGAATCACAATGATATTAATTTACTGTGTGAGGTATCATCATCGAGAAATATGTGTTTAAGTTATGTAGTGTCTCTACTTTAAAGAGTCCTCTCCTGCTGATGTTCAGGTGTATATCAGTATGTAGTGTCTCGACTTTAAAGAGTCCTCTCCTGCTGATGTTCAGGTGTATATCAGTATGTAGTGTCTCTACTTTAAAGAGTCCTCTCCTGCTGATGTTCAGGTGTATATCAGTATGTAGCGTCTCTACTTTAAAGAGTCCTCTCCTGCTGATGTTCAGGTGTATATCAGTATGTAGCGTCTCTACTTTAAAGAGTCCTCTCCTGCTGATGTTCAGGTGTATATCAGTATGTAGTGTCTCTACTTTAAAGAGTCCTCTCCTGCTGATGTTCAGGTGTATATCAGTATGTAGTGTCTCTACTTTAAAGAGTCCTCTCCTGCTGATGTTCAGGTGTATATCAGTATGTAGTGTCTCTACTTTAAAGAGTCCTCTCCTGCTGATGTTCAGGTGTATATCAGTATGTAGTGTCTCTACATTAAAGAGTCCTCTCCTGCTGATGTTCAGGTGTATATCAGTATGTAGTGTCTCTACTTTAAAGAGTCCTATCCTGCTGATGTTCAGGTGTATATCAGTATGTAGTGTCTCTACTTTAAAGAGTCCTCTCCTGCTGATGTTCAGGTGTATATCAGTATGTAGTGTCTCTACTTTAAAGAGTCCTATCCTGCTGATGTTCAGGTGTATATCAGTATGTAGTGTCTCTACTTTAAAGAGTCCTCTCCTGCTGATGTTCAGGTCTATAATGAATACTGATTCTTAAATCATGAGCTGCAGCCCTGCTCTGTTCAGATCTGATTTAGCTCTGTTTGATAGGAAACAGTTGCGAAAATGCAAACACACACACACACACACACACACACACACACACACACACACACACACACACTTGATTGTATTGCCGCTAACAGTGTGCAGTCTTCTGAGAGTGGAGGTTACATAACAGCTGTTCAAAGTTAATCATCATTTGAACACCTTTGCTGCTGTGCTGATTTGCTCCAGGAACATCGCGGATACTGTGTGCTGGTCTGGGGAAATGGCCCATATCTTGATTCTGCTGTGCCTGTTAACTGTGTTGGACTATGAGAAGATCTCTAGTCATTCTGAGAAGTCTACTGGATTCAGGTCTGTTCTGCCACCCGCAGTGGGCATCCCCTGCAAAGGTTCGGATGTGTTACACAAACAATTACCGGTTGCCTTGTCACAGACAATCTGCTCGACAAAATATGCTTGTCTTTTTTGTTTGCCCACGATGCTGGTTCTTCAGGACTGCTTCTTAAGCTCTAATCACCAGAGGTGTGGACTCGAGTCACATGACTTGGACTCGAGTCAGACTCGAGTTACCAATTTGATGACTTTGGACTCGACTTGACAACATCACAAAAGACTTGCGACTCGACTTGGACTTGAACACCAATGACTCGGGACTTGACTTGGACTTGAGCCTTCTGACTTGAGGTGACTTGATAATTTAATTCAGGGGTCTCCAACACGCCGATCGCGAGCTGCCGTTAGGAGAGCAGACACACTAGGATCATACCATTATGTGAAAGAAGGGTGGGGGGCAGACGCTCCAAAGACAGCAGGTGTAGTGGTACAGGCCAGCTACACAGAGCCACGGGGAGACGGGGAGCCGGATTTAAATGCAAGCGCGTCGGAAAAAGTCAAGAAATTTGCGAAAACCGAAAAAAGAAGCAGCATCTGGCTGCATTTCAATGATATTGGAGAAAGCAAAGCTGAGTGCAGGATTTGTAAAATGAAAATAACCTTCAGAGCAGGGTTTTTTTTTTGGTAACCACTCAGGATTTATTGCCAGAGGTGGGAGAAGTTCAGATCTTGTACTTGAGTAACAGTACCAGGGTGTAGGAATACTCGGTTACAATAAAATATCCTGCATTCAAAATGTTACAATAAAAGTACAAAAGTATTAGCATCAAAATATAGTTAAAGTACCACCTGCAGAGGGATCTAGATTCAGGTGTTCTTTTCCCCATAGAGACGCCTCGCTGCACATTATCCCTTGCATAAAGATAGGTTGTGGGTCCCTTATAACATGTTGTACACAGTGGAAATAAACATTCTGGTCACCTCAACATCAGGGATCTTATACATTAAACTCCTTCTGAATCAAACCGTCACGGTAGCCTTACCTTACTGATCCCTCTTACAATAGAAGACAAACACGTTACTTTACCAGCAGAGAGAAAATGGATTATTAAATTATTAATGTGACTAATAAAGAGCAGTTTGATTATTAAGTATTATTCTGTTGATCGATGTCATTACATTTGTTGAAAAGCACATAATGACTTGTTTAAGACTCGTTTTGTCAAAGTTTAGGACTTGGACTTGACTTGAACTTTCCCATCCTGACTTGAGACTTGACTTGGACTTGAGCGCAAAGACTTGAGACTTGACTCGGACTTGAGCGCAAAGACTTGAGACTTGACTCGGACTTGAGCGCAAAGACTTGAGACTTGACTCGGACTTGCAAAACAATGACTTGGTCCCACCTCGTAATCACACTCTCGCAGACTTTTCTGGTGATTTTAAAGTAGATGACAATGTATGTGTGTCGTTGAAGAGGAAAAGATGCCTGTTTTTGTTGTTGTTATTACTGTCAGGAAATGTACAACCTAACCCTGGTCCGCCCTGTAGTAGTAGTCAGATCGCTACTCCTGCTGATTTTAAAGCTAGGTCTGGGTTGGGTTTCATCCACTTGCAGTGTTTTACGTCAGATTCCCGTTTTTTACATTACATTACATTTCCCTTGTTAGACGCTTTTATCCAAAGCGACTTACATACTCAATACTGTGGGCAATCCCCACAGAGCAATAGAGAACCGCAGTGACGCGTCCTAAAACCCGGAAGTAAGTTAGCATTTTTACCACTTCCGGTTCCTTCGTCAAAAAGCATTGCAATTTCTCAATAGGGTTTTGGAAAATATCTGGAAATAAGGTCTGTGTTTGAGACACATTGAAGTGACGGATCACGTTTTGTTCTA